TGAAAAAGCACTTAGCAACTATGAGCATTAGATAAATTTAAAGTAAAACATCATGAGATTCTAACTTATTCCAGAAAGAATGGCTGTGATTAAGAAATCAAGAAAGAAAAATGCTAGCAAAGATGTGGGGATAAAGGAATCTTTTTTCATTGTGAAACTGTAAACTAGTGGAAACACTATGGAAATCAGTATAAACATTCCTCAAAAACTAAAAGTAGAAATTACATTTTCATCAGCTACTCCTCTTCTAGGTATTGTCCCTCCAAAATTAAAGACATCACATTACAATGATAAGCATATACCCTTGTTTATAGCAGTATGATACCTAAATATTGGAAGATTCCTATAATGTATCTCCATCAACATGAGTGGTTAAAAAACAGATATCTATACATAGTACTATAGTAATCTTCTGTAAATAAATATATTTCAGTCACTTTTAGGGAAATGGATGTACATTGAGACTGATATAGGAGAATGAAACTCCCAACCTAAAAGATAAGCTGGGTCTGGTCCATGTTCTTTAAAGCCAAGGAATGAATTTTAGGAATAATGGAGGCTAACAGCAGAATGTATTTATTGGGGGAAAGAAATCTTCTATCTGAGAGGGACAGATGGGGGATCCAAATGGATTGCCTCTGAGCAGAGTTTCTAGGAATTTTTATAGAGCAAAACCTTGAGGTGAGGCAGGCCTAAGGTAGGAAACATGGGGCCTTGCACGAGAGGTGCGACAAACGTCTGGTCAACCTATAAGGTTACAGCACCATTGCTCAGGTAAAATTGACAAAATCCAGCACCAATTGGGGAAGTGAGTCATGCTGCAAGTGGGCATGATTAGAGAACAACAGCTTATCTGGAAGCCTGTAGGGGTTGTGTTAGTGATACTTCCTGGCTTCCTCAAGGTGAAGATCAATCCCAGATGTTTATCTTTAGAGAGGTATGTATTTGTTTGATCTTTGTTCTTGAGGACTGGCCCACAGCAGTAGAATCCATCTCTCTCACAGTTGAAAAGTATTTTGTCTTCCTTGCTGTCTCCTTCGAGGACCTAGCCCTGTCTGACTGCTTATAATGTTTCTAATTCAGCTACCTACAAGAAGACTGTAATATTAAGTCAATCAGAAAATCAAGTTTAAATATCACATGCTAACTCCTATATGGAAGTCCCAAAGTGTGAATAACTTAAAGAGAGAAATAAAGACAGATAATAGGAAGCAGGCAGAATGATCTTTGTAGAGGGGGAATGGAGCAAAAGATGGATGAAAAGGAGGAAAGGAAAGAGAATGAACGGCATATAAGAAGAATTAAGAGGTTTTATGTACACTTAGAAACTTCTCATAATGGATGGCATCATGGTGTACTGTAGTAGTAGAACAATCTAGAAAGTGAAATTAGAGAGGAGGTATCACTGATGAAAGGACAGCTTTCAACTACTAATAAAGACACAATGAATGTATCCATACCCACCAATTTGTTGACTTAGATGAAACAAATTACAGTACTTGAAAAACACATCAGCTAAAAGTCAGACAAGAATAGGTAGACAGTCTGAATGTACAGATGCCCAATAAACACGCTGATGACTGACGTACAGCATGCTTATATCTTTACCAACACTCATTCTTCGCATGTTGATACATGTATATGTTACATACCCAGATAAGAGCAAAAATACTAAATCTGCTGCTGATGAGATGTGCAATATTATCTTTCGTATCTCAGGGTTTCAATGATCTATTTATTATCTCTGGGACCTTGTTCTTTTTTTTTTTTTTTCTCTTTTGTTTTCTGGAAATCTTAGTTTAAACGCTGCTTAAGCACTAATTTCAATGTCATTTGTCAAGAAATACAATATCAAATAACAGAATTTCAGTGCCCTCGTGATCTCTGTGCTTGATCTATTTGTATCTGTCTCTTCATAACACTTGGTGAAGCAGACTTATACATTTTATAGTTTTTTTTTCTTTTTGAGAATAATGCATAATGGAAACTACACTGAATCAATGTTTCCTAACTCACTTACTTTATTTTATTATGCTCTTCCATATCTTTCCATGGCTTGAGGAATCATTTCTAATAAAATGTGTGTGAGCTTATTTATGTATTCACTAACTGGAAGGCTTGTGGTTGTTTTCAATTTGATGCAATTATGAATATACACTCCACAAATATGAATGTGATGATGTTTGTGTATGTGTAAGTTTGAAACTCATTTTGTCATGTAGAAGCATAATTGCAGAATTGAGTGGTGAGACTGTTTATCTAAGTGTATGACATTCCCCCTTCACCCTATACTTGAAATTCCATTAGGAGTACATGAGTCTCAAGGCTCTGCCATCCTGTCATCATGTATCATCACTCTGGGGCTCCTTACTACTCTCTGATTTGCTTAATTTTGGGGGCTAATCCATTTGCAATTAAATTCCTAATTTCCGCTCTTTATGACAAATATTCATATATAAATAAAAAGTAGTATTTCATATTTATAAAATAAAAATGCATATAGTTACTTAACAATGGGTTTATCTAAATTATGTGCTTGAAATATGAGTATTGTTAAAGATCTTATTTAGTTTAAACCTTTCATAAAATGATACTTAACAAGGTATCTTGGCCGGCAAAATAACCCAGTGGTCTAAGGCATCTGCTTAGGCAAGCTTAGGCAAGCTTAGGCAAGCTTAGGCAAGCTTAGGCAAGCTTAGGCAAGCTTAGGCAAGCATGCAGCGACCACAGTTCCATCCCTGGCATCACGTGTGGCACCAGCTTAACCCCCAGGGTGGTTAGATCTGGCCAAAACACAGAAGAAAATAAAATAAAACAAAACAAATATATCTTACATGTAAATTTTTAGGTTTGAAATAGAATCAATATTTCTGAAGATGTACTTCAAATTTTCAGTGTCTTGAAATGTTTCTCATTTAAACTGTGGTGCATTGTGGAAAATCTATTTCATATTTAGATTTTATTTAATGAAATATTTTCATCAACAAATGTTAATAACATTGTGGAGGATCTATTTCTTATTTATTTATTAATGTATTGGGTTGTTGTAGTGTCTCACTACACAGATGGGACTCATGGTGATCATCCTGCTTTTAGCTTCCCCAGTGCTAGGATTACAGGCATGCACCACCTTGCCCAGAATCTGGCCAGCTCAGAGTCCCTGTGGAAGGGGCTCGGGCAGCATGTGGTGCTAGGGATTGAACCGCTGTCCCTGAGCTCACCTTATCTTGCATAAACAGGAGCTGTAGTGCATTGAGCTATCTCATCAGCCCCTCTAATTTCTTTTTTAAATTTTATTTAATAAAATATTTTTAATCATTTTAAAATGATTTAAAATCATTAGTAACAAATATAAAACCTGAAGTACTTTTGCAAGTGGTGTAACACAACGTTGATGGAAAAATAGGTCCAGACAAAGTGAGATGTTTTTTATTCATTATGAGTGAAAAGATATGACAAACTTAATTTTGATAAAAACTTACTTTCTGCTGCATACAATCATATTGGTTTTATGTGAAGGACAGTAGAGTTAAGTGGAGATTTTAAAGTGTTTCTGTAGTGCATCTAATTTTTTTCATTATAACAGTTTATTTTCTCTTATCTAGGAAAGATGGATCAAAAGAACCAATAGTTGAGATGAGAACAGAAGATGAAAGAATTACTAATCATGAAGACGGAAGCCCGGTAAATGAGCCAAATGAAACAACACCACTAACAGAACCCGAGTAAGTAGCTCGCATTTTGTGTCTTGATAAATAGGAGAAAAGTGAAAACATATTGTCCTTATTTGTAACATGTACTTATGAATACCAACATCATTTATCATATAATTGTACTATTTATTTTTAAATGAAGCACATATGGAATCCAGAATTTGTTTTTGGAGGGCCAGCCAGATAGCTCAGGGGACTAAAGCGCCTGCTTAGGCAGAGTGCAAAAGCTGGGGTTCAATCCCGGGCCTGCAGTGCCCATCCTGCCCCTGGGGCGCCCGGAGAGGACAATTGAGACTGGGTGTGGTGGTGCGCCCCTGTAATCCCAGCACTTGGGAGGCTGAAAACATGCAGGTCACTATAAGTCCGATCTACGTAGTGAGACCCTGTAGACCCTGCAGGCCTTGTAACAAATACACTTAAAAAAATTTTCATTTCTGTTGACATCTTGTCCATGCATACTTTGCAACAATATCACAGAAATTCCCCTATTGAATTATATATTGTAATTTTATTCAAATATATCAAAATATAAATTGGTTGTTCTAACACAAACCTTTCCATTTAGAAAAGTACTTATTTCAAAATACATTTTGCCAAAATGTCAAAAATTACTCATCATTTTGAATATATTACAAAATATGTCCAAGACTATTACATTTTTAAATATTATAAAGAAAATGAAGATATATCACTGAAAATTGTACCATTTTAATGTTCATATAATAAATGATGCTTAGTCTTCATTTGCAGCCATGTTATTTATTTCTGTTTGTAGCTTTCATTGCTCTGCTACAATGGTAGGTAAAATCCAGCTGAGCTGTAAAGGTGGACATATATCTAGATTCATATAGATGAATATTAAAATTATTTAAGATAGGGCTATTACTAAGGTGTGCTATTTCACTGAATGTGTTTGATATCAACAAAACAATGATGATCACATCATATCCCTCTTCAAAATAGTCAGATTTTATTGCTTTCCAACCAATATCTCTTTTCTCAACCAGAGAGCAGTCCCATCCAGATTTAACATGAGCTGTTAATTGCATTCCCAATCGTAGGCTAACTGTTGTCACAACTGAAAAAATATTGTTTTTTTTAGAAATAGCATCTGTTATCAATAGTGAAATAATCTGTAGATAAACACAAAGAACTGTACAGTGGGTAATATTTCAGTACAAATGTCTGGCCAGTTTCCACATTCTGTTTAGAATTTACTGCATTCTCCCTTGAAGTTTACTTTTTTAGAGACAGCTGTCACAAAGTAGATTTTATAATCGCTCAGATACCAGAAGTCTTTTCACTGAAGCCAAATATTAGACACCAAAGCTAAATCCTACTACGGAACATTTTCAAAGTTATGTTGGTCTGCATGGAAATCTTTGAAAAATACCCAGTCATATAACTGCTCCATGACTTAGTGAGTACTCCAGGCTTTAAGTATTTAAAAGAGATAGTCAAAACAAAAACAATACAATCAATAGTAGTCTTCTAGAAAATTATTTAACATAAACATAAATAGTGAAATTTTCTATATATAGAAATATATCATCCGGGAAGAACAGATAGCTGACCGGACTAAAGCACCTGCTTAGGCAGAGCGCAGTGCCCAGGGTTCAATTCCTGGGTGCACTGAGACTGGATGTGGTGGCGTGTGCTTATAATCCCAACACTTGAGAGGCTGAAAGCAGGTGGATCACTACGAGTCCAATCTGTACAGTGAGACCCTGTACACCCTGTACTAAATACATTCAAAAAATAGAAATAAGAGAAAAGAAATATATTATCCAAAAATTAGTTCAGAATAGTTCATTACAATTCAATCCATAGTTGTATGCGTAAGATATATATTAGACATTATAGTGTTTTTCAATTTTTCTATTAGTATACGGTTGCATACTAATTATTATACTGATCATGGGGGATCTGGATGTACATAAAGCTCATATTAATTCTTTATCCTTTTTCTCTTCCATCTCTCCAACCCACTTCCTCTCCGCAAGCACTCAAACTTTATTTCCATTTCCTTCCTTTGCTTCTTTATTTTTTTCCTTAAATCCCTTCCCCTTCCTGGCCTCCCTCCTTCCATGTTTTATTCTCGTTCTCATTGTAAAAGTTCTTCCTACTTCCTGATATGCATCTTCCATTTGTTCCGTATTTACACTTTAAGCTTTTCACACAATAAAAACAGTGTGCTATCTATACATTATTTTAACCTCTTGTCAGCACTCAAAATTTCTCTTCCTGTGAATACCACAGATGGCTTCTTTGTTCGAGAATCCCTTGTTTCCTGCGTTTTCAGCACGTTACAATGGAAGAGAAAAAGAAGTGTGAATGCTCTACTGACAAGACATAATAGAGCTTAGCCTAATAGATATAGACACCACTTTATTTCAAATAATGGACCCTATTAGCTTTTATGAAGAATTTGCTTTCAAAATTTTTTGGTTTTACCAGTACAGGTATTTACTGCACAATTATTACATACATTGCCATTGTTTTAAGGTCACAATACAAACATATATAAATATATTTATGTAAAATAAATTGCAAGTAAGGAAAGCCCAACATTACTCTCCCATAAAATAGTGACACTAATTGAATTACAACACTTTTGTAAATAAATAAAAAGATTATTGATGTGAGCAAAAATTATTGTCTGAATAGAAGACATTTCCTCTCTTGTCCATAATCACGTAGACGAGATGTGAACACAACTTATCATTACAATGCTATAGGAAACACAGGAAATCTTGATCCAATAGTGCCAGTAATAGCATCAGTACGAACGTTTTTAAAGTTAGCTTAATGCTAACATAGGATGCTATTTTTGCATAGGTTACAACAGTCAAAACAAGAACTCAGAAGTGATATCCACGTGCAAAGAAAAATAGCACTGAAAATACACCAAAGGACACTATATCATAAATATAAAAATGTATAACCTAAATATATTAATTTGCATTAAAATTTAAAAACTTTGCTAATTCACTTTTCAAATTTCATTTAACAAGATATGCTAAATACTATTAAAACCATTTTCGGGTAGGTCAAATAGCTCAGCAGATTAAAGCGCCTACAAGCAGGCGCAAGGATGGGAGATTCAATCTGTGGGCCTGCGGGGCCGGATCCACCCTCGGGGCACGCTGAGATGGCACTGAGACAGCAAGTGAGGCTCATGGTGGCGCGGGCCTGTAATCCCAGCTCTTGGGAGGCTGTAAATAGGTGGATCACTATGAGTTTGATATAGTAGTGAAACCCTGAACACCCTGTAGACCTTCCATAAAATACAATAATGATGATGATGATAATAATAATAATAATAATAATAAATCAATAAAATAATTTTCCTTTATTTTTATTTTATTTTTTTGGCAGAACCTGGGATTTAACTCAGATCCTTGTGCTTGCCAGGCAAGCGCTTATTCTACTGAGCCATTCCCCAGCCCCTCCATTTTTCTTTAAAAAATTGAACATGAATAAATTATAGATCTGTCATGTAAAAAGATTTTGGCTTTTGATCATCTGAAAGGACTATGTTTTAGTACTTTGTAGTTATTGCATCTAAGATGCCCCATAATTTTGTCCATCTAAAAATTGCAAATATTTTGCCTACTACATCTGTCTGATTTGTGTTGCATTTTCATAAGCAATGTTAATATTTATTGCTTCTTCAGTAACCTAACTCTCAATTTCATAGTATCTAAATATTTTCCAATTAATCACTGCAATGTATTTGTCTGCAAATCACTAACTTAAATGTTAAAGAATGTATACAGTCATTTGTTAAGGTGGATTTTTTTTATATCTCTCTAGAAAACTGCCTTTAAAAGAAGAAAATGGGAAAGAAGTTCTAACTCCAGAAACTATAGAAATTAAAGTTTCTAATGACATCATCCAATCAAAAGAAGATGATGGCAAAGCATAACACAGTATCACAGCGGCCGGATCAACACGACCAGGAACATCTGGATTGCAGTGGCCCTATGACCAAAACTATTCCACTGACCTTAATTTCTTGGGAACCTTTTAGCTTGGAATAGCTTGTACACCTATACATATGACCACATACTCCTGCCCATAATGCATTTTCTTTTATTATCGTTGTTGTGGTTGTTCAGTTTTAAGAACTTCAGTGTAGAGACTTGACTGGCACCAGCTCTTATGTGTTGATTAGATTCAATGATTGAAGTGCTTCAATTTGTCATATGGCTAGAGTGCTCTATTTCTTATAAACTTTGTCTCACATAACATCAAGAAATTTTCAAACTCTCTAACACATGAGGTTATAATGGAACACACAAAGACACACAGAAACAAAGAAACAAAACCAAAACATTAAAACTGTGTGAGCTAAATGTGTAAGAGAGCCCTGCATGTTTTTAAATCTTAATTTGGGCAATAGGCTATTAAAATGGCTTTCACCTTGAAATGAAGGCAGGAAATAAAGGTATACTTTTTATCAGGAGAATTTCAGGGAACCCAGGCTTAGGGAAGCCAATTATCTTTTGCAGATATTAAAAGGTGAGGAAACTTTGGAGAACTCTTTTCAGTGCATTTTTAAACATTGAGTTTTTGGTAGACTAAGGTAGCTGATCAAACTTGTTATTTATTTTTAAAAAATTAGTAATGTGTAAAATTAGATTAGGAATCTAAATCTCTGTCTCTTTATATATGCCATATCATTCACAATGGAATATACAAAACTAAATGTATTGCTCGTGAAAATTATACTGGCTTCTGCCCACAGCTTCAAATAAAACAAATTGAAATTGGAATAATATTATTATGCTATCTTGATATATTTATAAATACACGATTTTCTTTTATTTTTAAATAATTTACCAAATATCAAATATTTACTGTTCCAATATTTCAGATAATATCCTCAGATATTTTTTTAGTGCACATATTTAGGTAAAACTTTTAGAATCAATTTTTTTAAATTTTATAGTTTCTTCATTAATTGAAACTGGCTAATGGAAAATAAAAATCTCAGTTTAGTTAAGTTAAGAAGTTACTTAACATTTAAATGTAACATCAAATGTCAATTGTAAACAATCAAATTGCCACTATGTGTTTTTATTGTGATTCTTATAGGTGGAAATCATTTTAAGATTTTTGATAAACAACCTTGATTGAAGAAATTCCTTAAATGTTCTGCAGGCTTTCTAATATCACTTATTAGGGTCTATGCTTATCAACTTCCAAGCTATGCAATCTCCCAGAGGTAAAACACTGAAATGTGATTTAACTTATATATAAGGAAAATGTATTTATGGTTATAAATATACATATGTATTGGGAAGAGGTTTTAGATTATCTCTTAACCTAGGCATCCAAAGGTGTTTGGGGGCCTCATTATATTAATAACTTTTGGTGTTTCAGTTTTTGACTGAATAGCTCAAATGTTGATGATTGAGAATATATTCCAATAGAAGACTGGAGAAATTAATAGTGCAGAGGGACTGTTATGAGAATGTTTCTCCATAATTTGATGTGTCCAATGTTAATGCCACCCATAAATACTTTTATTTACAAAGTGCTTGAAACTGTCAGCCAGAAAGAGACAAGTAATTTCATTCTGTCCTACACTTGCTGGCCATCAGCAGGACTGAATATGCCCATCTGCATGTTAAGACACAAAAAAAATCCATAATGACATTGCCATGTATGATAGGGTGATATTTCAGGAATTTCTCCTTCCTACCTTTCTGGCATATTCTGAAGAACAAAATGCTTGTGCCTATTTAAGAATATGAACAGTCTCTAAACAAAAAAATTGGTTAAATTCTTTTCACTAACTTCATTTTCGAGCTGCTTTCTCACATTTTTTGGCTATATTTGGTTGATGTTTGTCTAATCATCTGTTTTGCCTTATATTGTTGTGTTTTATTTTGTGTGTTTTGTGTCAGTGTGATAAAACTAGTTAAAATACTGGAATTAGTTTGGGCAAAGTCAACAAATTAGTAAAGTATCTATCAATGAACAAGAGAGCTAATATTTCCTGGATAGGACCATGTGGATTTGAGCTAATCACACAGAAAATGTTCAGAGGACTAAAAGCCAATTTCGCATGTTTACTGTTGTTAGACTTGTGCTACATTGAAAAAATAGTGGAAACATAATACAGAAAAAATTATTTTTGTGTTTTCTCAATTTTAATGTTCTGCTTTCAGATTCGTTGATTTTCTATGTAGATGGAGATATTTCTTTATATATATGCTGTTACCTTCCTTGCCACTCATATGCAGTAATTACCTGCAATCAATAGATAATTTGGAAATAATTGTAAGAAGACTATTTCAAGTGTATTCTTTCAGTTCTTTGAGCAATCCTGACCTCATGTCCTTGAAATTTATGCCATGCAGGAGCAAGGCATTACTGTGATAAATCTTTAGCTTAGCATTTTCATGGAATGCTCCAGATTAGACTATTTGTAAAAATTTCCACATAAGAAATGGCTTGTAGTAAAATGAAAAATATGAGTAGAATTGAAGTTATTTGTTTCTTATTTTCTGTTATTATTCTAGACTAAATATATCAGTGTAACTGTGTGTATTATTTTTGTCTGAGAAAACTCTTCTGCTAAAATAAAATATCCTAAGTTCACTGGCTATAAGTACTCTTAGGATAATCTGAACCTTTTGCTAAAATAAGAGGTAAAGATTATATAAAAATTGCTATTTCTTATTAGATTGTGTACAATTAAATAAGAACAATTAAAACCTGTAATCTGAAATTAATATCAGAACTTAATGCATACTTTAAAAAATTGGCACAAATTAAGTGTCAAAATATTACTGACTTGCAAAGGAATTTAAGAATTGTGATTTATATAGTTTTATTATTTTGAGAAGTAAAATCTATTGTCATTGTAATATGAACATCTAATATCAATATAATGTCCTCAAATTTTGCTTTATTTTTTAATATTGATGCCTATAAAAATTTTTTCAAAATTATTTGATCCAGTAAACTTCTAAAGATTTTAGTCTAATTAAACATTTATACAAATGTAAAGATATTATGAATCAAATTATTTATTTCAGTGCCAAAAATTAATTGTAACTTTGTAATCAAATGTTTTTTTCATGCTTATTTTAAATAAGATGTATTTGTGCCTTTGACACTCTGCTTCACTAAAAGAAATACTACTCTCATTGCTAGCAACCTATCCTGCTCACGCCTGCAACATTCTGGTCATACTGCCTTGTTTATATTCAGTAAGTGAGCTCAATTCAAACACATTAACTTGAATATAAATCCAAATATAATAAATTATGCTATATAATTTATTTTCATTCATAAGAAAACAATTCTTTCATATATACCTGAATTATTTTTAATTTGTTCTGTATTGTTTTTCTAGACAACACATACAATGTAGATATTGTTTAAACTGAGGTTTTAGGCAGTCGTAAGAAAAAGACAGCAAATAGTTTTCAAAGTCAGGTAAATTCAGTGATATCACTTTATTAGTCCTGTTCTATAATTTTGATTTGATATTGGAACATAGGAAGAACATGTTCAAATAGATTTGGGATCATAAATCATCCTTGTGATGATATAATTCATTGAGGAAAATATCTACAACTGAAGTGGTAGGAAAATATTCTCCATTTCATGATTTAAGAATACTTGACATATAATATCATAATTATTTATGAAATTATCCATGTTCTTTTTCATGGAAAATAAAATAAATGCTCTATTATAATTCCTCTTGGAGTTCTTTATCAGTCATACCCAGAGTGCTTATTCAACAAATTTTGTGAGAAGGTGAAAATACTTTTTAATGGAGATTGTTGATGTTTCTTATCTCTAGAGAGAAAAGATTTACATTTTATTAGTAACCATTTGGAGTTTTCATACATGGAATCACAAATTGAAAGTGCATATGGGTATATTGACATGTGCTAAAGTTAAAAGTGCAAATTCAAAGATTTGTAGCACTCCAACTACAAAATGAAAAATTTTCAAGGAAGCGTTCTACATGTAGACGTAAGGATGTTCCAGGATGAAACAATTTGGGTTGTAAATGAGAACATTAAAAGGGCCTAAACATAATAGTTACTGAATAGATATACTTTTCTTCTAGGTTTTACCCTTCCTTTTTTAAAAACTGCATTTACTCATGTAGATGCAGCTACTTAGCAAGATTATACAAGAATGCTTATGAATTATTGCCCCATATTAAAGTCAGAGAATTTTATATTATATATAATAGCTAATATTTATTTAATAATATGTTTAAGATTATTAGAAAATTAATTCATTATTCACTATAGGACTTTACCGATGATTTAATTATTAGTTGATAACACTTTTGGGTTTTTTTTTACAATTTTTAGATTTCTTGCCACAAATGGCTTATGAATATAAAATTTAAAAATATAAATTTAGGTATTGCAACTATACTTTCTTCTGATATGAAAATATATAGTGCTAGACATTTAGTTCTATCCCTGCATCAAAAAGCATAAGCAAAGCCTTGAATTTTGGGGCAAAACAATACCAACCAGGCAGGAAAGTAAAAGAACAAAGAAATGATAGGAGATACAAAGACAGAAATGATAAACAGCTTCTACCCTTAAAATAGGTAAGAAGGAACGGTGGTGTGAAATGCTGTGCTAGGGAGGAGGAACATTGCCTATGTGAAAATTAAGGCCAACAATACATATACAGCCAAGATATCCTTGTGAAAACTAGAAGAGAAAGCTCACAGAGATAGAACTTATGATTAAATCTTCAAATAAGATTTTTCTGCTCTAGAAAAAATATGCATATTATAAAATAAATATTACTCTCAACAATCAATGTAACTGTTCCAACTCTCAAGGAAATATTCACAGTTTAAACTTTGCCTCTAATCCCTGTTAGAAATAGGTGAACTTCTTAGAAATAAAGGTTAACAAAAATCATTTT